GAAATTATAGTCTGAGAGTGAGTCATATGACCTTTGGCCTAGTCACACCTCACAATTAGTGAGATTGGGTAGTCCAATTACACGGACAAAGCCTTATTCAGTGTTATAACCCATGGTTTTAGTCGAAGGAAATAAGGAGGGTATAAGGTTGGTTGATCATTGCTTATGTAATTATTTAATATGTCACATGTTTGAGTTGTGGTAAGTCATGTTGATATCAAGTCATGGTCACATGTTTGAGTGTTTTATGATAATGTACCTAGCCTTCGTGAGATGAACATGTGTTAACTAGAGTGATAAGTTATGTTATGTGTGCAGGCATGTTTTAATAACTTTGTTTCATACGCATGTGTTTTATTATAATTGATATATAACTGCATAAGGTAGGTTTTATCGTGGTTACTAAATGGTTATACTCATCCCTTCTATTTAACATTTTTTAGGCTCTAACTCTGGTGCTAAGAGGGATAAAACTTTTGAGGCTTAGAAATCTGTGCATTCTTAGTATAGGCCTCTATGTATTGTTATTTTGTGTAATATAATTTCATTGCTAATTATAGGATGCATTTTTTTTTGTTTACGCTTACACTATAAAGTTGTGTTGTTTGAAACGTATGTTGGGCCCTAAGGTATGATTATGATTAATTTTATATGTTTATAAGGTTAAAATACTAGTGCAAGTGTAAAAATGTTATTTTAAATGTGTTATGATTTATTTTGATGTAATGCAATGCAAATTATCTTCCCCTTTTATTTTTAGTATTAAAGGGATTGAGGAGTGATTTTGTGTTATACTGGTAATTGCATGCATATGATGTGTTGTACTAGTCATTTTAGGTTTAATGAACATGATCTGGGTGTTACGAATAGCGTTTGGCACTTGTTATAGGTTTTAGACACCCTTTTATGTGTGAAAGTTGTGAAAAATGATAAAAATATGTTTGGGTGTCCAACTTCTTGATTTGACTTGTTTTGAAAGTAAAGCCCATGCCATTGCTAGTTTACGAAAAGAACATTCTATAGATACCTAGATCGTATCATTCAGACATTGAACGGAGATTTGGAGCATGCCGAAAGTTGCCCGATTTTGCTATCAAATGACAACAGAATTTGCTGTCATAAAACATGCAACACGCCATGGCATGTGGCACAGAGCAACATGCTGCGGTATGCATAAGCCACAGCGCATTGCTCTGTTTTTCAACAAATTTGATGTTTTTCCATCTGTTTTCAATTTTTTTCACTCCTTTAAAGTATCTTATACTTTTGTAACTTATTTTTACTCTGATATAAAAGTTTATAAATGATTTAAACTCATTTTAATTATGAAAACTTGAGATCGCTTGATTTGAAATCAAAACTTAGTAATCTCTATAAAGGTAAATCCCTTAATTATCATGGATTTAAATTGTTATTGGTGTTTGATTAAGTGAGATATTTCAAGTAATATCTAAAATTAGTAATAAATGGTGTTTGATTAAGTGAGATATTTCAATTAATATCTAAAATTAGTCATATATGAATTTGTTGGAAATGTTTGATGACCATTAATGATAGTTTAGTAACTCATTAATAACAATGTGGGTCAATGAAATTTAGTAAATCTATTGGGTATGGGGGGTAGTGAATTTATGATATTGATGGAATGAGTGTGTGTGTGTAGTTAAATGTTGGGAAAATTTCTCAAAGAGGAACATTAATGAATGTTCTTATGATTAGTTGTAGATTAACTCAATTGGAACCATTCAAGCTAATTTGGAAGATTTAGAAGTGGTTATATGGAGGGGTAAACCTTTAACTTCTTAAAGGTTTGAGGTAATTGGGGAAAATATAGTTTGGGTAATTGTGTGTTAATTATTTGTTGAATTTATAGGATTTAAACATGTTTGGTATCTTGAATATTCATTAATGCAAACTTGGCAATGTGTGAAATTGCTTTAAATTGTAGAATACAATGTACATATTTTTACTCATGTAATGAATGAAAAATATGCGATATTTGATATGTAGAGGACTAAGAATGCGTGACATTTGGCATAAGGAGATTAATGGATAAGGTAAATAGTGTGAATGGGATATGATGTGATTAATGGTTGAATTGCATAATATGTGTCATTATGTGCATAGTATGAAGGAAAGGAGTAGATTGGTAAATCCACTTAGCATTGGTAGCTTACTATTAGAAGCGAAAGCTTTCCCTATTACCGACCATTGGAATTAGAAGGTAACCATTATCCTATGATTGATTCGAGACTGTCTCGCTTGTTCTTTAAGGGATTTGAACCTAACTAGTATCTACCGATTCATGAGAAGGCTAGATTAGGGGTACGACACTCTATAGTTGTTAGTATTAAGGAAAATTGAGGTACACAAGTGAGTAGGTTAACCCTAGCTCGGTAGCTCCTTACAAGTGGAAGGCTGTGTTAGTCTGAGTTATGGACGTAGTAACTTAATAGCCATTGATTTCATGTCAGAGGTAATAAGAGGGTATATGGCTGGCATTGTTCATACATTTAGCTTCGGCTACATGATTGTTATTATTGTGGTTCAACATGTTTCAGGGGTGCATGGTTGTTATTTTTATGACCCTACGATGTGTATATTTGTGATATGACATGTGACATGTGTTGCACGTTTGGTCACATTGTTGTTATTGTTGTAGCCATGGCTATTTGTCATATGTGCATGATGATTTAACATATTACCATTTGTATCTATATTTAATTGATATACAACTGTATAGACTAGGTGAACCTTAGTTACTGAATAGTTATACTTACTCCTTATTTTTAATATTTTCAAGGTTTAGCTTATCGAATCTAAATTGGGAAAAATGTGTTGAGGCTTAGAAGTTTGGTGTAAATCCTACTAGTAGTGGACCTCTTAAATTTGTTTTTACGTGTATTTATGTTCTTAATTTTCCAACTAGAATTCATTCTATTATTTTGAGCTACTTGCATTATTGTTATAAAAATCTTATGTATTTTATACTTTGAGTTAGTGAGTTGTGATTATAAACCTTGTATAAGATCGAAATATTTATGCAAGTAGGAAATGTGTATTTTGAATTGTTTTGAAATGAATATTAATGATTTGTGCAAATTTTCCTTCTCTTGTGTTTTATGAATTTAGGGGTTGAGTGGTGGATTTATAATATATGTGTATTTGTATATGTGTGGTGTGTTACATGAGTTTAAAATGGTCTAATGAGTAGGGTCTAAAAGTTAGTACAAGTTTTTGGCACGTTGGTTGGAATTTTGACACCCTAGTTGTAAGCTTTTGTGAAAAATGAGTGAATATGGGTTTGGGGGTCTAACTTTTGATAGAAAATAAATTTGGTTGTGAAACTTATGTCATCAGTTAAAATTAAAAGAAAGCTCTTTGTAAATACCAAAATCACATCAATCAGATGTCAAATGGAGATTTAAGATGCGATGAAAATTCATCCCCTATGCTATCATTTGGACTGCAAAAGTTTGCTGTCAAAAATCATGCAATGCACGGCGGTACATGGCACAGAGACATGCATGTTATGGCGCGGGAGTGCTTAGCCACTACGCATGTGCTGTTTTTCTCTAGTTTTACTGTTTTGAATTTTTGATGCAAATGTTTTGATTTTTCTTGATTCCTAGGCTTCTGTAAACGTTTTAAACTCTGATTTGATTACATTAAAAGCATACAGGAGCATTTTAATGGTTGAAATTTTGGAATCCCATCTATAATTTGTTAAAATTTGTGAATCCCATTTGTTATTTGTGTAAATGCTTTTATCCCATTTATGAAATTGTGAAAACTTGGTAATTTTTATTTGGTTTATACTCTTGATTACTTTGGTTAAGAGTTAATAATGAATAGATAGGAAGATTACAATGTTTATTTAAGGGTAACTTTACTTGTCTAATCCAGTGCTGACAAATGGCATCTCTCGACTCTCATGTCGGTGATCAAAAATAGAGAAGAGAAAGGTCTCACTCCATTGATCTCCATCACTCTATTGATCTACATTGCTGGTGAAGGCCTCACTGCATAGATCTCTATTAATCAATCAATCTACTTTGATTTCCATCAGATAAGCATGATGAAAAATCAAAAGAATAAGAATAAAGAAAAAGAAGGCAAGGAGAAGGAGAACCTTCGTGTGTGGTCAGAGAGAGCAAAAGGAATGGTCTTTTGCACTGTCGTGGTCGTTCTTTGCGGAGAAAAGGAGTGATCGCGAGAGTTAGATGAGCTAGGTTATAGTTTTTTCTTTTTATTATTTTAAAGACATTATAGTTTTTTCATAATTCATATTTAATTATAAAATAAAATCAATGCAAGTATTTCCTACAAATATTATTTCATACCAAATATAATTTTAAAGCCTCATTCTTACTAACCAATTATAATACCAATTCTAATCCCAATAAATTGAGTCCTACCAAATAAGGCTTAAGGGTTATGAAACTGCTAGCTAATGACTCACAAAATACTAGAGTAGGCTTCCCTTGAATTTGCACCTCTATTAAGAAGGTGCATGATTTATATTGTCTAAATTTAATTTTTTTATGTTATATTTTTTAAATAAAAAATTTATGAAATTTTGTAAAAAAATTTAATAAATTTTTTTTACTGATTTAGATAGTTCAAATTTAATATTAATAGTCTATATTTAATATTACAATTTTATAAAAATTATAAAAAATTTAATATTAAACTTGTATTGTCCGGAATATATCTGGATAATCAAATTATAAAATTTTTAAGATTAAATGTAAATTATTCATATTAAATCATAATTGTTGAAACTGTTGAACAAATTTATTAAAGTTTTTTATTATTTTCACAAATTTTTTATTTTAAAAAATATAAAATAAAAACTATTAAACCTAAACCGTCCAAAACATGTACCTTCTCATCGTATGAGGTGCGAAGGAGCCACCTCTTTGAATACCCGTATGCTTGAATGTACCATATCATAACTCACACTCAAAGCCGTTTTGGGTGGTTTTTTTTTTTTTTTTTTTTCAGATAAATTTCGTAGGATATGGGTCTCTCTCTCTCTCTTCAGTTCCTCACAATCTTCTTCGCCACCTGCGACTTCTCTCTCCCTCTCTCATGAGTTCAGAGAGAGAACGCTGCAATTCCCGCCACTTCACATGGATCATGAAAACATGCTTCCCTAATCCTCACCAAACCACCACCATTTGTCCTCAGCCTTACCATCCCACCACCACTCTTCCCATCACCACCACCACCATAACTTCCCTTCCCGACGACGTCGTTTTGGAATGCCTCTGTAGGGTCCCACCATCTTCACTCCCTTCTCTCTCCCTCGTCTGCCGCCGCTGGGCCCGCCTTCTTCACTCTCCACATTTCTCCGATCTCCGTCGCCGCCGCTCCCTTCTTCACCACTCTGTATTCGCCGTCGTTGCCACTGATTCTGGTTTCTGCGCTGCCTCTCTCACCGATGGTGCCTGGAAGATCGCTCTGTTCCACCCTTGTTACGATGCCGTTGCGCTTGATGATTTCCATTTCTTGTTGGCTCATGCGCGATTGGCTTCCATTGGCCCCAGAATATTCGTCATCGGGAGGAATGCGATGGTCAGGTATGATACTTGGACCAGCACTTTAAGTCCTAGACCGGCGATGAATTTTCCTCGGAAAAAATTCGCTTCTGCAGTTGTGTCCGGGAAAATCTATGTCGCCGGTGGTGGTTCAAGGTCCACGGCGGTGGAAGAATATGATCCAGATTCAGATACCTGGAGCGTGGTATCCTACGCGCAGAGGAGACGATATGGTTGTATTGGGGTTTCCGTTGATGGATTATTCTTCATTATCGGTGGACTCAGAATAGGCGCGCCGGGGGAGGGTAACGAATTCTCACGCGCCACCGGTGGGGCTGAGGCGCACGCTGCGTATGCGAGCTCCATGGATTTGTTCGATGTGGAGGCTCGAACCTGGCTCAGAAGCCGAACGGTCCCGGGGGGAGGATGTGTGGTGGCGGCTTGCGCTGCTGCCGGGAACGTGTATGTTTTAACCAGTCACGCTGTGGAGCTATCGTTCTGGAAATTCGACGCTCGTAGAAAAAGCTCCAACCACGGCGGCGGAGGGGGGTTCGGAGACTGGTGCAGAATCAAGAGTCCGCCGTTTCCCGTGCAGGTGAGGGTGGACACGAGGATGAGATTTAGCTGTATAGGATTGGGAGACAAGGTGGTGCTGATCCAAGTGAATGGGTGGTGCGTGGATGAGATGATGAGAAGTGGACGGAGTGTGAGGGAAGGGATGGTTCTGATATATGATTGCGGCAGTGGAGAGTGGAGGAGAGGGGCGGACTTGCCGGATTTGTTCCGACGCGCCGCCTATGTGGGTGTGGAATGCTGAGGAACTGGTATCCCGACCAGCAGACAGTAGAGCATGAGGCCTCCATAGGCCGTATCTGTAGGCAGTGACCAGTGGGTGCGAAGTCCGATTTAGGCATCAAATTCATTTGGGGACCAAAGAAAATCTTGCTGAAAGATCATTTCTCTGCAATTGATCCCGAATTTTCTTTAAAAAAATAAAAATATTTTTTTAATGAATCAATGTCAGTATGTCACTTTGGATTCTAGAATTCTTTGATCTTTGTAATCTTTACTGATGTACAATGTATTTTTTTTTTAGGATACTTTCTGATGCACTCTATTGTTTGCATTGGTATTTTGAATTAAAAAAATAAAAGTTAGTTTCTACACTTCTTTGTAGCGTGTACAGAATAGTTCATATGGTCTTGTATTATTGGTTAGGATTAGGAATACTGAACGATGAAATGTGGAAAATAGAATCTAGTTAACATTATTTTTATTTTTTAAACAGTTGATTCATGAATAATTTAACACAATTTGGGAATTGGGATGATGGTAATGTTGAATATATGGAAAATAGTTTTATCAGTAACTTAGGGAGGGGGCCTAAGTTATAATAAGTTCAAGTCACAATGATTGATATTGACTAAAGGTATAAAAATAATTGAGGATGAAGTGAACTGTAAGCTATTGCACATGATGTGCAATACTTCCCAATAAGAAAAGTTTGGCATCATGTTTGACTTCACTCTTTAACGTGTTATATGTTATATATCTATTGGTGCTATTGTATGGTTGATTTGATCTATTTTATTTTATTGGAGATTTTGCTTGTTTAAAATTAATGAAATAAAAACCAATTGTGATTGAGTTGAATGAAATGGACTTGTGATTCTTAAACAAGTTTGAGTTTGAATATTATTGATGAAGAAAAATAGTTAAGAAATTATTATATGATTTATTAGAAGCAGAGCTGCTAATTTTAGTTCAGTCCAGCTACTCAAAATAAATCCAAAAATTGTTAGAATTAGATTTATAAAAATTATGCGTTTTTACTTTCTACGTAACCGATCTTTTCAGACTAGCTTGAATAGGTTAAAAAAATATTCGATCCAAAAACATTTGGGTTCTGCTGGTCGGAGTACCCCACATGTGTGTGTATTATTATTATGGAGATTGTTGAGAGCTGAATGGAGGAGTAACGAGAGGAAGAAAAAAGAAAAAAAAAAAAGAAAGAAAAGAAAGAGGAAGAGATAGCAAATGAAATGGATATGATAAAAACTTAAGTTTCATTTTTTAAATACAAATATTTTTCATTGACAATGTGTTTCATTCGTAACAAAAGATTACAGACTCAATATATCCAACAGATAATTTCTCTTCCCAGATAAATAAAGGAGGATGGTTAAAGAAATAGTTTTTTAAGATTAAAGTCTGAGCAAATTTAACAAGAGTGTCAACATGTTTGACAAAGTCCTTAAGTATAAAATTAATGCTAACAAGTCAATCTCTATCTAAAATCATTTTAGCTTTCTAGATATCTCAATAGAGATGATTTTGTGGGGATTTAGAGGATGTATTAATAAATAAGTAGTACTTAAAAATATATTAATTAATAAATTTGAAAAAGGAGTAAACTTAAAAACTTAACCTTTTAAAGGTAAAAAAATGGGGTAGTTTAAAAATAAAAATAAAAACTGAATAGTTTGAGATTTGGGAGAATTTCAATAAAAATCCACTGATCATACTTATTTAAATTCAAAGCCTTTAAATTTTTAAAATTTCATTGCAATCCAGGGATACTTATTTGATATTAATTTTTTGAAAAAAATAATAAAATCACCCTTCATTTAAATTAAGACTCTGTTTACTGAAAAATGTAAGGAATTTTTAATCAATTTCACTTCCAATAAAGTAGTTATTTATTTTTAAACTAATTATATCTTTTTATATTTATCCCTATTTAATATAGTGTTTCTCCTTAAAATAAATATAGATTAATTTATTCAATAGGGTCACTTTAAAAAAGACAATGATTACATTTTAAAAAATTAAAAATGTCATACATTTTTTAACATTTAATTTCTCAAAAAATATCTTACATTTGTGAACAGAAGGAGTATTAGAACTACCCTACTTCACTTGTTAATTATTTTACTTCACTTATCTATTTACTTAGTGAATGTTGTTAATTACCCTATTTTACTTATTTATTTTTTTGGAATGAAATCAAGTAAAAATTTGGCAATGAATAAGTAAAGTAAAGCAATGAATAACAGTCTGTGAGTAAATAAATAATATATAATATAAGAATGAATAAGTTTTCTTAATATGATTTAAACACCTAAAATGAAAACAAGTTAAATAGGACAATTAATAACATTTTATAAGTAAATTAACAAGTAAAGTAAGATAATAAATAAGTAAAGTAGGAAAGTTTTGATATTAATTTAAATAAGGGATAATTTTATCATTTCTTTCATAAATTTAATATTAAATGAATACCCTTAAACTGCAGTATAATTTTAAAAGTTTAGAGATTTTAAATTTAAATAAATGTCATCAATGAGTTTTTATTGAAATCCTCCCCAAAGATTTTGTCATGCTCGAAAACCGAAATTGTTAGGGCAAACTTCATTATCTGATATTTTTGTTGATGTATTCATGCTTAACTCATACTAATAAATACAGTACTATATTAGAATGGCACACCTTTCAAATTATAACATAAGTTATTATCAATTAATTTATATTTTTTTAAAAAAATTGATTAAACTTTTAATTTTTTTTAAATTTTTTTTTGCATCTTTCCAATCGCAGCTCAAGTAAAATAAATATAGCATGATTTATAAAAAATAATTTTTATTAAGTACTTGAATAAAATATAATAAATGAGGTATCATTGAAAAAAAATATAAAATTTATATAATGTCATATGTTTTTGACAATGTAAGATTTTTAGAAAACGTTTTTATTGTGGTGTCGAGGGTAATTCTTTTCGTTGTTGACATACATTTTTTTATTGGCGCATCTTTTTATAGGTTATTTCTTCCAATAGACTATAAAAATTACATATAGATACACCTTTTAATAAAAATTTAAATTAATCTCATTATTAAAAATTAATCCTTTATATTGAATTTGACGCTGCTATAGTATTATAATTTTTTTTGGGTCAACAATATGTCAGTGTCATAATTAAATCTTTTGATATTCAATGAGTTTGATTATGTGGATCCCTTATCTCCCACCTATCTAATTCTGTTTTACTCGATTTATCAGAGGTTAATTCAAATCTGATCAAAGTATAACTTGGATTTGACTAGATGAGCTACTTTAAAAATAAAAAAAAATAATTTTTTGATCCTTTAAATTTTAATAAAAAATAATAATAAAATTCTCTTAAGTTATATAAATAATAAGCTGATCTCTCAAAATATTATAATTCTACTGAAGTCTTGAAGAACTTTTATGTTAATAAATTTTAAAATGAAAAAAATCATTTTACTCTTATTAATAAATTATAATTTTTTAAATAAAAATTATTATTTCTCAAATAAAAGTTATAATTAAGACTTGCTACTTTGAGAATTTATTTTTTAATAACAAAAATCACACTTGATAACTTGTGATTTTTTGTTCAACTCTTAGAATATACAAAACAAAAACTGTTATTCCAAAGTTGTGATTGTGACTTATTTTTTAATAACAAAAATTATAATTGATAAGTTATGATTTTTTGTTCAATTCTTGCGATTCATAAAATAAAAATTATTATTTCTTAAGTAAAGTTATGATTGGAGTTTGTTATTTTCAATAAGAGTAAAATGATCTTTTCACTTTAAAATTCATTAACACAAAAATTTGTAGAGATTTTAATAAAATTATAAAATTTTGAGAGGTCATGCTGTCATTATTATAATTTATGAAGATTTTATTATCATTTTCTTAATTTTAATTAAGTTAAAATTCATTCCCTTTAATATATATACAGTTCAATACTTTAACTCTTAAATCGCTTAAACCTCGTTCATGATCTTTTGACCTTTTGACCTTTATATTTTTGTCCTTGCCCACTGTAACCTGGCTAAATTGGCGGGAAAAAGGAAAAAGGGGAAAAAAAAAAAAAAAAAAAGGCTTGCGACTCAGTATCCCTGTAAGTACCAAGGCAGATGAATCAGGTTTTGAACAAAACGTAGAAGAGGAGGAAGAGTGAAGGGAAATCAAGAGGGAAGAAGTAAATTCAGATCGTGGCATTGCATCTTCTCCACTCGTGGCTCGCTTTTTCTCTCGCTTTCGTCTTCTTTCTTCTCTATCTCTCACATCTTCTCTGTTCTAAGAAGCAGAGTGCAGAGGCGAGGAAGAGAGAGCACAATGCGCATTCAAGTTCAAGAATCCTTTTTTGTGTTAGCAGGAGCAAATAACCCAAGAAAAGGTACGAGCACAATTGAAATGGTTTTTATTTTATTATTATAAAAAATGATAAATATATTTTAAAAATAAAAAATATATTTTAAAAATAAAAAGTAATAAAAATAAGTGTTTTTTTTTACTTTTTTAAAACAATGATTTTAGAATATTTAAAAAATATTTTTATTTTTTCTATTTTTCAAAATAATATTTTGTTTTTTAAAATATTTTTTAAAAATACATCATTAGACAGATCAAAATAAGTTGCTAACCAGGCCTTATATTTTTGGTACCTTTACATAAAAAAAATCTGGGGAATAAAGGTAGTCTCATTTCACGGACAAAGCGCCAATTCTCCATATGCTTCTTTCTCCTCGTCTTCCACTCAGAAGCGGATGTTTTTTTTTTCCCCAGTTACTGATTCATCTTCTAATTTGGCACTTACAGGGACGTTGATTCATAACTTAATTGCCATGCTGATGCTGATTAAGCAGAGTTATGAGAGATAAAGACAAAAATCTAAGGTATGAAAAGATTAAGGACTAAGTTTTAAATGAGTAAAAAATTAAGAAAATCATTTTAAAAAATATTTAAGAGATTGAGTTTCAGACGACTTTAAGCTTAAAGGACAAAAAAAAAATTAGTTTTTTCAAAATTAAAATAGACAAACAGTTTAACACTTGTTCTCGTCCATGTGCGTATCATTACTTGTAATGGGATTGGGATTAGGATATGATAAACTTAGAACGTGTTTAGTTTCTATTCTCATTTATTATTTTTAAAAATTATTTTACAGTACAGTTTTTAAAATTGTTTTCCAAAAAAAAATAAAATAAGAATTTGTTTGGTTATGTCAATTAAAAAACAGTTTTAAAATTAAAAAAATAAATTAATAATAATGGTTATAAGCAATTAATAGTGATGATTAATAATAGAAATTGATCAAAGTAAATTATAATTTTTAATAATAAAATGTAGT